AAATGCTATAATATGGCAGCATTTTATTTTATCGACTTCTTGACTTGTTGTTTTCCGCTGTAAAGGGTTCACTTCTTATTCTGTTGTCCAAGGCACACTAACAATTATAACACTCAAAAGTAAACAATATTAAAAAAAAACAAAAAACGTTTTTATCACATTTGAATTAAGGCTACTTGTATGATGATGACAATCTGCACTTATTTAAGGAGAAAACTTTACCTACTTTTAAGATCCATAGAGAAGAGCGAAAGCCTGAAGAGGTCAAAACTTCAGTAACACTTGTAGTATAAATAACAATTTTACTGTAACCTTTCATCAGGGGTTATGTAACAGCACCCTTAGGTGATTCAACATCAAGGTTATCCTGATGAAGGCTATTGGTTTGACAGTTCCAAAACATACCTGTATTCTTTTACATATTGTGTATCCGCTCCTCATGTCCAGCAGCTGCCATATATCTGCTCTCGGCCCGTCATAATCCACTTTTTCCATCTCACAGGAAGCAAGTGCAGATCTGAAAATTAAGGCATAATCCATGAAAGGGAAAATTAAACTTGAAGTAGTCCCCACTGTGATGAAGAGTCTCAAACTGATGAAGAGAGGGGGATAAAAAGGTCCAGTCAAGATGTGTGGAGTTGGGTTGTAAGGTCACCACCTGGACTGTTTTGAAATGAAGTCAACAACTGCCACAAAGCAGAGCTGCAGGAGTGAGGAGCACAAAGAGGATTACTTAGTCAGCAGCCACTCTCACTGGCCTGCAAAGCTCACAGGCACCAAGACAACGCCAAGATGCAATGCTCTCAACCTTTGGCCAAGTCATCCAAAATGTTTAAAAGCAGGGCTGACACTTATAGTATGCTTTTTTATACACTCTCTTTTTCATTTTCAATTACTCTACTCCCAATTCTGACGTCATCATAGAAACTGAAAGCAGAGTTGCTGGCTGCTGGTTATGTCAGTATGCAAATGTGCAATTACAGGCATAAGGTTAAAAACATCACCTAAAAGCCCACAAAACCAGGCAGACTTTGAAAGCAAATAAGATGAATCATCTCCCACCTGGTAACAGCATCCTGAGGTGATTCAACAGCAAATGGATGAAACTGCCTTTATTAGGCATTTAAATTCAGGTGTTTCTATGAAGGCATGACTTGGCTATAAAAATAAAAGCATTTTTGTATGTTTTATTGTATTGTAAGCAACTGCATGAGCACTATAAAAAACTATATCTGATGAAGACACTTAAAGTTTCCACACAACTTCATCTCTCTCTGTGGCTGCTTCTCAGTGGACTCAGTGGATTGTCAGACTCTATGTCTTTATGTGTCTCTAGAGGCACACAAGCTTTCTGTCTGTTATTTCTCTGTAACACATAGAAACTCAAGAGAATTTAACTTAATCAAAACTTATTTTTTATATTCGTCTTTCAGAACAAAATTTGTCGCGGCTGTACACACTAGATGATTGATTGAATTATTTTCTTTATATTGTTTCATTAAAGAGTGAAAACAGCGTCATACTCTGCTGATCAGTGTCTTTTGTCTTATGGTTGTTCTTATGTTCTCTGTTACGCAAGACCAGGACTACTTATACTTCAACAAATGATTTATATTAAGCTATTTAGATTCACCTGTTATGATAAGGATTTACCTGTTAATAGTATAGTTTTGTTGTCTGGACATAATCAGGAAATCAAGATTGTATTATTGTATTGTATCATCGAGAACAACAGGTGTATTAAAGCAGACAAACAGACCTCAGTATTAATGATGAACACTCACTGGGCTGATAGCATCAGCAGGCCTGTGGTCCCTGTGGTTGTAAGCTGGTTTAAGTTTTGGAGACTTGCTTTTCTAATTGTGTCCAGGCAACGCACAAGGCCCCTAAGGCTGATCTAATGAATTCCCATCTGTCCCCCGTAACCGTGTAGCTCAGACCTTTCTCGCTGATTACTTTATATCTAAAAATAGCCGCCAGATCTGAGGCAATTAGCTCTACTATAACTGCTACCACATCAGCACAGCCCTCTGACACTTGGCAAGCATTCAACAAAGCACCTTTGAAAATGTTCAATGAGAGGTCGCTGTTACTAGACACAACAAGAGGGAATGAGTAAATCTTTTAAGATCATTCTGATGTAGCCCTTTTGTTCATTATGAGCAATTCAAGTTAATGCCAGTGATTGTCTCTCAACTGTTTACGCGCAGCCTGTAATTTTATTAAGTGACTCTATTTGGAGTTCCTGTCAATTTGAGTTCACCTGATGGAGGGGTTAGGATGAATTAGTCTGCTAAGGGCAAAACCCCAGAAGCTAATTAGTATTAAGGCTAACCGCTTTGGCTGTCCACTAATCAGCTGATTCTCATAAGCACTCAAGCCAAACCAGCAACAGAACCAACCTTGTGGCCATACGTGCTTGCCAAACATTTGTGTCTGATGGTGTCTAAGACTGCACTTGGATGGTGAATGCATTCACTGTTGGCAGTCACACAGAGCTCTTGAAAGTGAAGACGGGTACAGGTCAGTTAGGGTCAAAGCAGAGACTGTCCTAAACATTCTCCTATTGATCACACCGCATTTTCAATATGTTGAATTAAAAAACAAACCGACAAACAAACATGAAAGGATTATGAGACAATAGTCTCCTGTGTGCAAACACGTCAAAGACTCCTTCTACAGAACAATCCCCATCCCGAAAGACAGAGAGCCCATATGGTTTATGATAGTAAGGAGCACTAGGCCAAAAAGCTCCTTATTACCATGTAGGAGTAAATTCTCCCTTTCAAGGTGTATGACATCTTAAAAAGTGATTGTAAAGTTTATTTCTTGAGTGTTTCAACAGGAGTCCTTAGTCTTTAGGCATGTTAATAATCTTGGAGATTGCGGACTGCTTATAACAATCTCCTTTGGGATTCTCCTGACTCACTGCTGTCACCAACTGGTAGAAAGTAGACTTGTTGCAAAAGCAGCATGTCCCATCCCCAGATACAGCAGCCGTACAGCAGCCTACACTGATTTTACATCTTTATATAAGTTCTATCATAGTCTGATGGTCAGACTGAATTACCTTTTTGTATCACTAACTTCATTTTTATTCATTCTTGCATTGCTGAACAAATCGGAGATGTGGGCAGAAATTCACAGGGCTGGATGGTTACAGTTCTGCATAAATGATGGTATATGATTAGTGATTATATTAAAGGTAAAACGGAATTGCAGACTCTAAATGGGTTAGAAGCAGCATTCACTGATTAGTGAGAAAGAATTGTGTCCTTGACCCAAAAGGTCAAAAGTGGAGCTACCGGTAAAATGGAAATATCCCTGCACACAGTAACTTCATATGGTTTGATTCCTCTGAAAGCAATGTATGACAACAAAACACCGACACTGCCTTTTCATATAAATATAAACTGAATGTATATCACACAAATTTACAAAAAACAACTAATGTTTTGTTGACTTTAACAACCAAGGCTGTTGCTTATTTGACCCCTCAATAATAATATTCACTGTAATATTCAGCTTAGCAATAATAAGTAACAGTAACACTACCTAATATACACAATATAAAAATACATTATACACACATTTCTGTAATATTAAAGCACTTATTTGAATATTCTGGCCAAGTAATTGTATGAAATCATGTTTATTTTTCCAATATTAATCTAGTAACACGTAGGGACAGTGCTGTGGTTGGAGCATGTGTTCAGACATCACTCAGATACTGTCCAGTGGTGGGCTGTCACATAATTACAGCTATCCAGTAACAGCTGGTAGCCAGAGGAGCAGCAGCGGTGGTCAGTCTGAATGTATGGAGTCCTCACATAGTTGAACTTTAGTCTCCACGGTTGACGTTACCTGTCCGTATGCCACACATTTTGAGGATTTTAACTGTGTTCGCTTTATGGTGAGTAATGGGCGTTGACAGCAGTTATCGTTGTTCAGATAAGCTCAGCCAACAAGGGAGGAGGAGGAGGGGGGTTAGTTAGCTAATGTTAGCTTCTAGTATAGACGGATGCTAGTTTGGATAACATGAGTGGATTTTATAGCCGTAAGTTCATGTTTAAACCTAATCGAAATGAGAGGAAAAACAGCGGGAAACACTTCGCTAGGCTATCACGAGGAGATAAAGTTGGATTAAAAACCTGTGACAGCTAGTATTGCTAACACCAGCGTTAAATGAATTGAACTAATGCTAACTGTCATCATTTGGACACGTTCATAAGATGCTACATTAACGTTACACAGTTTGCTTGTCGCTGGTCAGGTGGACGTTCACACTTCAGGTTCAGACGTGTTTATTTATCAACAATAGTTAGCGCATCGGCTAATTTGGGCATACTAACTTCCACAGGCCAAAGACAATCCAGCGGTTTTCCTGATTTCCAGCGCGCCGGTGGAGACTCGGTTCGGGGCTGAAGTGCCACCCATCTCCCTTCCACTGTGAACCTGGAAGTACAACGCCGCCTTGTGACAAGCATCCAACATGACAGGTGGGCATACTATTATACACCTGTTCTAAGCCTGGTGACGACCCTCCAAAAAGTTGAATGGAGGACAAAACTGAGGACATTAAAACGAGTTGTAAGAGCTGCTTGATCCAGACCCTCAGTACCCCACTGCTCATTGTGAAAATGTACTGTGAGAGGAACTTTGCATCAGTGTTCCAGGTAGCTGTGTGTGTTTGTGCGTGGCCTGTCTTTTCTTGCAGCATTGTGTGTGTGTGTGTGTGTGTGAATCTGCAAAGAAATCACTCACCAGACATTTTACATGTGTTGGCATCTGCTGACGGCCACATTCCTTGAACCCCAAGCCCACTGACTGAATGGCCGTCCCACAGTGCCCCTCTCTCCCTGCCTCTCTCCCTGCCTCTCTCCACCCTCCTCTCCCTGTGTCTCCCGGTCTCTCTCGCCCTAGAGAGAGAGACTTCGGGTGGATAGTGAGGTCCATTGTGTCAGTGAGATGTTTATTAATGAGAGAGGCACACACGGAGAGCAGAGCTGCTATTGAAGGACTAATCGCTAATCTCTTCGTTAATGCGGTCAATCTGTCTGTGTACTAACATAAATTACTAAGAAGCCTCAAGACAGGGACATGCGAGTTGGTGTGCACCAGGGACTCGTAGTTGGTGTGTGAGTTTGCGCGAGTGTGAAACTTTACACAGAAGTTGGAGTTGGCTTTTCTGTTCAGGCTTGACTGAGGAAAAGTGTATTTTTGCCGTACGCATGCGTTTGGTGTGTATTGCAGCCAAACTGAACAGTGGAGGATGTACATGATTGAGTAAATATCTGCATTTTAGCTTAACTTTCGAGGGATTGTGGAATTTAAGGCAGTTGAAACCCTGTGTGTATTGGTAGGCTTACTTTTCAAGAGTTTGGGCTTTGGTTTGGGGTTGTCAGTGTCTGTGAAAGGAGCAGTGTGTGTTTGAGTTTGTGCGTTTGTGGGCTGTTGTGTGTTTGTTTGCCTGCCATGCCCTTGCCTGCGCCTGATGTCCCGACCTCTCAGAGGCTGGCACTGGACTGTCGTACCCTTCTGGACCATCGCGTTGGCAAGGGTAAGTGACAACACCATCTCCTCTGTTCTCTCTCTGGCTCCTTCTCTCGTTCTAAGTGGCACGGACAGAGATTTATTTCACTGAAAAGTGCTTTCTTCCATGTGATTCCATGATGCCTGACAAAAAATGTTGCAAATGGAAAAAATGGAGCTGCCTCCTGGCCTGTAAAATGGATTCAGCTTATTTCATAGTTTGTAGAGGGTCCTTGAGCACTTCGGTAGGCCAACATCAAAAGGAACATTGGCTGTAATTGGTACTTGGTAGGTGGCTGTGGAACAGTGTTGACTAAAGAGAAACTTCATCCACCTGGAGCTTTTTTTTTTAACTTTAATGTTGACTGATTCATAAAAATACAAAAAAAATATAAAATACTAATAAAAATGACATCAGTAAATGCTCTCCGTTGGATAAGAGCAATGTTTGTTCTTGCACGAGAATGAGATCCATATAGCTCCACAGGAAATACTGCTGATCGTGCCAGCAATCAGAACTTCTCCCATGTGAGAATGAGAAAAACAAAGCTAGCTTGATTGCAAATTACTATGATGATTATTCAAGCAAAGTGATCTCGACAAGACCCCTGTTGTTTACAAGTAAAAAAAAAAACTTGCAGTAAGATATGAATTTCTCCTGAAGGAGTGTTGGTATCACAAATATATGTGGTCTGAGCTGCAGTGAAATGCAGCGAATGACAGTATCACAGTATAAGGATGCAGCCCAAAGCTACAGCTATGTTTGAATCTGTTGTATTAGTTGCCCAATTGAAACCAAACAATTCACCCCATCTTTAATTTATTGAACCGGTCCTGATGTAGCCCACTCTCTCTTTGTTCAATCAATGACAGCTGAGCACTTTTGGTAATTGCAAAACCAAGCTTTATAATGGATCTTAGCTATCGCACAACATATAACCTGGTTCATGTTTCCTTTTAAATGCTGATAACCATTCTTAAAAAAATCATGCAATTATATCTATAAACAGACTTTTGGATTAATGGAAAAAATGTGAACCAAAAAGGTTGAGTAGGCATAAGCGCATAATATGCTTTTACAAGGACACTGTAGCATCATCAGGTTTATGCTTTCACTGAAAGCTTGTACATTAGAGCCAATCATGTGAACATCATATCTGGTTTTATGTTTGTCACAGTTATGGCTGTGTGGTAATGTAAAGCCTGAATTGATCAGAAAGGTTTTTCTCATGTGGTGGGTTCATGTGCAGGTGAGAAGCTCTGCCATCTGAGCGGGGCAGCTGCTGAAAAGTATTTTATTTATGTGCTATGGTTTTGAAAAAATGAAACACTGGCATCTTAAAAATGTCACAGTAAACATGGTTATATATCAAAGTAACAGAATATGAAATACGTGACTGGTATGTTTGAGGTTTCCATCAGGCAACCATTGTGGGTGTTTTTCGGCTCCTGACAAAATGAAGAAAGAGGAACAAAACAGACATTTTGGCGTAAGGCTAGAAAATTGAAGGAAATGTGTGAGAGAGATGCATAAGCATAGAAAGACAAACTGAAAGAAAGTAAATCAGGAGGCATGGGAAGATTAATGACGGAGAGGAGGGAAAGAGTGATGCTGGGAGGGGGTGGAGAGAGAGGGAGAAAAGGAGATTGCGTGGGTGGGAGGTCTTCTCCCTTGCTTTCCCTGTAGTGTACATTTCTCTCTTATTCTCTCTCACTCCCCCCCTTCCTCTGTGTCTTTCGCCGCTGAAGAGAGAAATGACTTTGAGTGAGGTGGGTGTGTTTGTATATGCGCCTGCATGTGAAATCTGCACAACCCCCTTGAGAAGGAGCGCTGTTGCAGAAGACAAACGGGAAAATCCAAGGTCATCACGGCACGCTTCTCTCTGACGTTGCCTTTCAGCCCCCTTTTGTGCGCGTGTGTGTGTGTGTGTGTGTGTGTGTGGCTGCACAGCGGGGAGAGTGTGTGTAATTCATTGCATCGGGCCAGGCTCTGCACCAATCACGGTGCGCATTTTAGCTCCAAGCACACGTGCAGGCATTTATCCCAGAGAGTGTGCGTGTGAGCGCGTGTGTGTGTTTGTGTGTTTTCAGTGCCTCTTGGCACGTCAGTGTGTCTGTATGAGCGACCGAAGCTGCATTAAGGAAACATAAGCGTCTGTAGTGAGAGACTCCAACATCACGATCGATGTACGGTAAGAATAACAGTCACTCTTCCATTGTGTGTTTGTCTGTGTTCCAGGCTGTGTAAAGTATGTGTGTTATGTGAAGCGTCCAGCGTTCAGCCAGTTTTCCTACATTCTACAAACATGTTTCCTCTTAGCTTTCTTGTCCTAGACTGCAGCTGTCATTCGAGTGTAATGTCTCTTAAAAGCGCATTATGGGAACTTGGACTCTTATGACGATACAGCTCTATTAAATTACAGAGAGACTCTGCTTTGAAGATGTTCATTTTTGGTAATAGATACTTATTTTGTGCTGCACTTTTTACTCAAATTGTTTCCTTATATGTGTTAGCATTGTGCTCTTCTCAACATATTCAGTTAACCGTTGTTGCTTTTTGTGTGATAACAGGCTCTGTGAGATGTTTTATAGCTTTGTTCTTGTTGTCCTGGTTTTCACGATTCTTTAATATTTTAGGTAGCACATGATAAATTCATGCTTCCTCGGGAACACGTTAGTATCATATGTGCTGTTAAAGTTTTGGATACTTTCCAATCATGAGGAAATGCTCTTGGTGTTATCGTTTACTGTAGCTCTGGTGTTACTGGGACATGTGGATATATGGTTCATTGATTAGCGCTAATTAAAAATGTAGCGAGCTTTGCTTTGCTTTGCAGACTATTGATGGGAAAAGTCTTTGGTTTGTAGGCTAATGAATTATCAACACTGGAAGATCAAGCTCAGTCTGGCTTTACTGTGCAGCGCACCACTGAGCTACTTTATGGAAATGCTGCTCTGGGCTTGTGTCCCTCATAGCCTAGTTTCCGTGCCTGTTTGACTGTGATTCATAGTGTGTCGGATTGGCCTTGTGTCACTAGGATTTGAAGGCAGCTGGGCCTGTTCATCAGTATGTTGGTCGCATTATACCAGCCATGTTCGCTGCCACCCACACTGGATCCAATGTGTGCTTTGAATCTGACTTGGTGCACATGAATTGATGGCTGAAGAAATGTACACACTGCACATATGCTTCTGCAGTGTGTGTGCGTGTCTATAGCCTCATCGTGACAGAGAGAGGAGGGGTAGATTTTGGTCATATATGTAATGCATTTGAATATCTGTCATTCTTTGCATGCCTTCGTGACACAAACGTCTTACTCTTTGCCTTACTCACCTCCTCTCTTCAGCTCACTGAGCGACAGCTTATGTACATATTGGCTGGCTGTTGAATCAGCCTTGCTTATTATTCATTATGTGCTTATACTCTCCTCGCCTCTTTCTTAGTGTCGTGTTTCTATGCATGTTTGTAGACTCTTCTGTGTGCTTGCATTTCATTGTGTGAATCCACTGTTTAAAGATGTTTTGTCCTTCTTTGTTTGCTGATGTAAAAATAGCAGGACTTGGTCTGTGTCTCCCCCCCCTCCCTCTTATGTAATAACACCCCTGAAGGGCAACATGCTTTGTAACCATCATGAGAAGGGTCTTGTATTTTACACAGGTATATGTATACACTGCATGTAGGTGGCTACAGAGTATAAACTGTTTGCTTCTGTGTGTTTGTATATGCTTTGGAGCGTGGCCTCTAAAACCATTGCTTTGCATGACCCCAGGTGAAGGTGAGGTCTAAATGTGTATTGACGGTTCGGTCTTTCTTCCAGCCGCACAAATGTGCACACAGATCCGAAGTGTGTTTAATATTCTCCTTGCAGGGTGTCAGGACTATATTTACTCTCTCTTGTCAGCCACGTGACTTTGGGTACAACCGAGCAGCTTTGGGACAGCAGGTGCAGATATGACACTGCAAGATGCGCTGGGCTACTTGTCACACACTACCTTGCGTGTGCGCATGTGTGCTTTGACTTTCGAATTCCTTCAGATAAATTCCTTTTGTATCCGATGTTAACTTGCAGAACTTTTTGGTTTGTGTTGTGCTATTGTTATTGCTGATATGAGCAGCCCACAGAGCAGTACTCCTATTAACACTTGACCGTGTTTGCATAAGTGTGTTTTTTTTTTTTAAACATCATGCACATACATGCCTTTTAAGACCTGTGCATTTCTTTTTTGTTTGTCCCTATTTTTTCTCACTTCAGCATGCAGTTTTTTTCTCCCGTCTCTCTATCTCTCTCACCCTTTCACCCTGAAGTGGAGACGTTAAGCTGACATCCTGGGGGAAATGGAAAGTGTAATCTGTTAATGTACCAGCCCATTGTTACGGGGATAAAAATAGCTTTGTGATTGGCTGGCTCCTTACCGTTGTGATTTGAGGGATGGAGACCCCTCACATTTGTTCGTATGCACAGCACGTAACTTCCTCCTGCATTAATGTGAAGCGAAGCATCCGTAAAGAGACATCACCCGGGCTAAAGTTCTCCAACTCTGGTGCACCAGGCTGCAGAGATGTCCGCCTTCCCTTGATTGTTTTGTTCTGTCTACCAGCAACCAGTAATTTATTGTTCTTCCGTTCAGTGCTCCTCAGTGTGTGTGAGCCTGTTTGTGTGTGGGTTTATGAGCGAGTGTGTACGCAGGTGCGGAGGAGCTCGGCGTCCAGCCCCTAAATGTGTTGTCAGTTTGCCATGCAGAGTGGGTGGATGTCGTGAGACCCCCTATGTGTGCTATTCACCGCTGTCATCCAAATTCTTGTCCACCCACCTTGTTGCTCTCTCTTAGCTTTTTCCACCCTACCAACACCAGAAACACTAAACAACTGTTTGTTTTTTGCACAAACTCAGCACAACTATGCAGTATTGTCTTGGCATGGCAGTGAGGCGACTGGAGTAATTTCCAACAGAACAGAAACAGTATTGCAGCCCATTTTGAAGCCCTAAGCACATTGGAAGCAGTGAGCATTTGTCACTATGTTTTTAACAATTAGTCAGTTTATTAAAAAAAACAAAACTAATAGATTAATTGATCTTTAAAATAATCAATAGTTCTAGTCCTATTGCATGCATTGTTATAATGTTCAGTATGTGTTACACGCCACTTCAGCCTACCTTAACACATCAGCTTTTTATCAAGCTTCTGAAAATACGGAAACTACTTTTCAGCTTTAAGATGAATTTGCTTAGTTTTAAGAGTTTGACTCAAAAAATAGCTCAAATGTATAGTCAAAATATATAAACACTGCATGTAAGTGGCCTACCAACTAGCCTTAAAAGCAATGGCAGCCACTTTAAGGTCACACTAAAAACATTACCTATGAATATAATTTTTTAATCATCAATTATAACAGAAAATGCAGATGCCTGTAGTGCACCGCAGGAGTATGGAATAATAGGTCATAAATTGCGACCCCCACTGAGCGGTTAAGAATTATTGTGGACTCTAAAGTTTTCCCTGTTTAAAAAAAGAAAAGAAAAACCCAATAAAACAAACATGTTTATCCCTCTATTCCTCCCAAAAACACTCTACCCTCTACTGCTGACAGAGAGGACGGGACAGATTTGTACTGGACAGAGAAGATGCAATAAGTAGCACTAATCTGTGACTCATTCAGTGCATCACAGTCCACCTCCCCCATCACACTTCCATCTCTGTCTCTTTTTTTCCCTCTTTTGCTGTCTGTGTCTCTGTCACTCTTTTGTCCTCCACCCTTTCCTCTCTACACTTGGGACCCGCTGCATTTTCATTAATTCATCGGCGACTCCTACACTCAGGCCCCGGGCCAATATAGCAAGGATGAGAGAAGGTGGTAGAGGGAGGTTGGGTGGGTGCAGGAAGAAGGTGGTAGAGGGAGGTTGGGTGGGTGCAGGAGGAAGGGACAGAGGGAGGTAGGAAGGGAGGGAGGGTTGCAGAGGCCTCATTAGTGTTTGAAGTGATGGAGGAGAGAGGGGCAGAACTATGAATAGACACACCGCTCTCAGAGATAAGCCTGAGCTCCAGCAGAGCTCCTGCTGCGGACTTCAGCAGAACTTTTAAAGAGCAGATAGAGGCCTTGAAACAGACAAGCTTTCGAATGGTTAAGACACTAAAGACACCTTCTTGTCTATTAAACGGCTTTTCAAGGACGTCCTATCCTGACTCCCCTCCTCACAGGTGCAGGTCACTGATAACATACCAGAAGCCGAGTTAATGTAGGAACATAGCACAGAAGAGGGACCATTATTAGGGCAGCTGTGGCTTAGGAGGTGGAGTCATACACTAATCATAGGGTTAGTTGTTACTCAGCTCCTCTTGTCCACATGTCCAATTGTCCTTCGACAAGACACTGAACCTCCAATGGCTCCTGATGGTAAGTCCAATTTGGTAGCTTGCTGCCATTAGCGTGTGAATGGGTGAATGAAGGCTCACTTTAAAGCACTTAAGATATAAGTGTTAATTCACCATTTATTGCCTTCATAGCCTCATTGTTTAGATGTAAAGGATGCATTCAGTGCCCATAGGGTTAACCAATACTGTTTTAAGGCCACGTTGTCCTTAGTTTAAAATAATTACTTATCACATAGAACATGTTCTTTTTTATAGCTGTCAGGTTATTGGTTTCATCATTAAAGAATTGAAAAGTTGGGAATATAAGGATGTCAATTTCAGTTAATGTTGCTTTCAATGCCTGTGTGTCTGGGAAATCAGCAGTTTTGCACAGTTGTTGTATGTCTTGCGAGGTGGTGTAAGCCAGCTCAGCTCATCCATTTGCATTCGTGAGTCAGGCACGTGGCAGCTGATTGCCTTCATTATCTCAGTTGATCCATTTTATATTGAGAAAATGAATTTTGTGAGTGTCTTTTTTCAGGATGTGTTGCAATAGTTTGGGAAATCTAGTCCCTGTAGGAGGCTCGGTGTCTCATAGTGTGAACATTGTTCATCACAAGGCACCTGTCCCTGGCTGTGTTGAGAGATCGTATACATCTGTGGTGGTGCATTAAAAAGATGAAATGTGTTGCCTTGGTGTCATGAGCTGAGGGAGAATCTACTGTATGTAGGATACAGTCCACTGTGTGGTAGGGGGTGGCAAACTGTGCAGCTGGTAATCTTGTTAATGTCTGGTAAGTGTACTCTCAGAATGGGGTTTTACTGCCACATCAGCAAAAAAGGAATCTGTAGCAAACCAACATGAATGAATAATAAAACATTTTTCATTTGGGAGAATTGCAGGAAGGGAAACGACATTAGGAGGGAGAAAGGAAGGAAAGAAGAAAAGCTGTTCCTTTGCGGATTATTTTTTTTATTGTCTAACGTTTTTTGAAGGGTCAGGCTATCAAATCCTTCCTTCATTAAACTTGACTGCATTGCTGACAACGTAATGACCTACTTTTTTTGTGTGTCCTTGTTTAATGTAAGCAGGAAGGTAATAATTCTTATACAGAGACGTATGAATGGTTAACTTTTTTTTTTGAGGTTATCCCTTTTTTTTCCCCCCCTTATTTCTTCACTCTCCCAGGGTCCCCTTATGACTCACCACTGCTGAATTCTTTCAACCAATCAGAAACCAGCTCTCTCTTCGCTGCCTAGCCTGCTTTCTCCTCCATGCAAAGTCAGAAAAATCACTGCTCAGTGTGTTGCACTTTTCTCTTTAAGGCTATCGTGATTGCCTTGAGAGAGAAAGAGAGTGTGTGCCTGTGTGTGTGTGTGTGTGTGTGTGTGTCTGTGCATGTGTGTGTAATATTATCTGAGCAGCAATGTTGTGACTGTAATTGTCTTGTGACCACATTCTTTCCATATCTGGCTCTAATGTCTTTTCACAGAATTCCCTTCACTCAGCCAAGCTTCTGTTTACCAGAAGCTCCATAAAAATGAACATGTTTTTTAATCTTGCACTCAGTAGTTTGAATGATGGCATCACGCCAGAGCTGACATTAATGATTTTAATTCAACATTTGGCAACTTGGTAGGTGTGTTTTGAGTTTTGTGGATGCTTGCTACGTTTTCCCCCGGTACAATGAAAGCTATTGACGAAGCTTTGCTGTCTTGTCTTTCCATTATTAAGAGCTTCCTAGGATATATCCTGCTTCTCTAGATTAAGCTAATCATTTTTACACTGTCAGCGCAGCTAGACAACTGCACCTACAGTAATAAAATTAACCATGTGTTAATACGTTTGTATTCAATGTACCACTTTAATGAGACCCTACAATAACACTGACAAGCCAGTCAATACTTGCTCTTTAGCTTACCCATTATTATTTTATTAGCTGCAGCTGTATTTTCCTTGCTGACATATTTACTTTCTGTGACTTACTTTTCATCACTTTATGTTGTGAATGTGTAGCCATTATTAGTTGCTGCCTTAGAATTATAATCAGAAATTACTGACTTATTAGTATCTCAGTGTTTATTGAATGAGTAATCATACCAAAACTCCTATTCACTATACAGCGATTTTAACCCTACCTTCTGTCTATAGTGTTTTTAATATTACCTTTGTAACAGGAGGCTGGTTTGAGACATATTTCATTGCTTAGGCACCGTCTTCTTTCATTTACACGGATCAGACAAATAGTGCTGCAGCAAAGAAGGGTTTACTCGTCTTTCTTTGCTTTTATTGCATTTCTGTCACTCATACTGCACAAGTATAATTGACCATTTCTCTTCTTTCTCTTTTTCTTCTCCCTCCTCATCTTTTATCTTCCTCAGGGGTTTGTGGTTGTTGCGGGGCGCTCAGGCCTCGGTACAAGAGACTGGTAGACAACATCTTCCCAGAAGACCCAGAGGTGAGAATCTGAACTGACACTTTCTGTTTCTTTAGCACAGTAATGCTTTTTCTAAGCCAAACAAGTATGTTTCTCGTAGGGCTGTCCCTGACTAAAGATTTTCCTTGACGACTAATTTAATTATTTAAATATAAATAATAAATATGAGCAGCCTGTTAAATGTTAACAGAGAAGGGGGTAATGAATCTAAATGTGTCAGAACAACCAGCAAGGAGACTGAACATTTAGTTTATTTTAACACAGTGTGACATCACACAAGTCTCAAAACTCGGAATAAATAACTTCCAACTATACAACAACAAATACTTGCTGATTTATCAATACACTGGATGATGTATAATACACATCTTCTGCATGATGTGTATAGCAATTGTGCAGATCTTTCTAATGCATTTGATCAGTTATTGGTAAGGCAGTTAGTATTTAAACAAGGCAACAAGTCTTTGTTAAGATTAGCTTAGTTTACTATGTTATCAAGTATAATTTATACAAGATCAGTGCACAACAAATGTGAGAAGAAATTATGAGAAATAATGCACTGTACCAGATTTAGCTGGAAGCTTTCCATCTGCATTCTCTTGGCAGGTAAATATGAACACCATGTTATGATACTGTCTTAGCTTTAGGAAGAGTGAGGTAGATGTGATAAGAAAACTCTGTACCGCCTCCATACCTAATTATCTTTTTCAAAGCTGTTGGTATCAGACCACAGACCCCATCTTTGCTACCGTTTTCTCAGATTAACTGGGATCTGATACAGATGACTCATAAAGAGAATTAATTTGGGTGAAGAAGAAGGAGCTTATTTGTTGCAGAGGAAACTTTCATAAGTGCCTCTGTGTTACTGCAGTAACCCACTTAAACCTGTCAGATCTGTGGCCAAAACTGCAATACACAGGACATACTAGTACATGCAGACCTCTTTTCCCTGATTTGTGTGTGCGCGTGCATGCACACCTGCTCATTGTGCTATCAAAATGTTCTAAGTTTGGCTCTAAGCTGCTGTTATTTTAACTAACTGTATCCCAGCAGCTTGGGAATAATGAAGACCTTTGATAACATTCACTCAGAATTGTGTCACACTGTGTGACCGTGTGTGTGATATGGACATTTACTGTACTTCTGTGTTTCTTAGTGGTAAGGTGCTTTAATATAAGACACATCTTAAATAACAAATTACACAAAATGTCCCCACAGTGGTGTGTACATTATTAGTTTAAATTGGCATTTCTCAGGGGAAGAGACTACAAAGAGTCTGTCAGACCTTCCTTGGTTTACTCTGTTAACACTCTACAGAAGCCTGCGCTGTGTCTCTACAGAACTACAAAATGATTGACTCTAATGAACAAAAGCCAAAAATCATCTTTTCAAATGGAGGGTGTTGTTTTATAGCCAGCTGCAATATTCTGGCTGTGTGGTCGATAATGGATTGCAGCCACAGGATGTTTTAGAGAAGCAGACAGGGGAAGAGCTATCGTCCTGTGCTGAACCCTCTGATGAGAGGAACAGGCCCTTTTATCTACAGCAGACATTTTGACTTGTACTTGCAAGAAAAGTGGAGCTGCCCTCGACTTAAGATTTTCCTAGTTGACTAGAAGTCGTTAGTTAAGGCCATTAGTTTACTGATGTCTCGTTTTCCTTTAGGGGTGGAAGGAATGGGAAAATGTTTCCTGCTATAACGTCAAAATATCTGCTGTGAAAATTGCCAAATTTATGCTATGGACGTAGAGCACACTAATATTCATATTGTAGACTACAACTATGATCGATTATACACATTCTATGAGTACTAGCTATGATAAAGCTGAATGTTAAGGTTCTCTGATAAGTCACCATCAACCACACAACATTTATTTTATTATTTATTCTATTTTTAAATATTTTTTTTTAACAGTTTTTTTAACTTCAGATAAAAAGATTTTTGTCATTTATTTTGAAAAACGTAAATATTTAACAGTAGTTAATTGCTTCTGTTCCTTACTGTAACAGGTAATAAACTCAAATTCTCAACAAAAATGAATAACAAATATAAAAGCACAAATGTCTGTAATGTGCCATTGTAATACTCTGACTTGTTGATAACTGCAGCATGCTTCCTGATTAAAACGCACAACTGAAAGCACATTGTAGCACGGCTCAAGCACCATATGCCTAAACCCCTTTTATGACCAAGTATGGTCGCATATGGGCAGCAGTTGCTCAGTCTGTGGGGACTTGGCTTGGGAACCGAAGGGTCACCGGTTCAAGTTCAGCACAGTATGGAGTGTGGACAAGCAAAGCACCGACCCCTTACTGCTCCTGGTTCTCCGCTACGTGGCGACCCATCACTCCACCATCTCTCTGCATTTAAATGTCTATAAGCCCTGTGTGCGTGATTGTATTTCGGCCTATATGTGTAAATCATTGAGTGAAATAAGGATTTCCCCATTGGGGATTAATAAAGTTAATCATCTTCTTCCTCTTCTTCCATATCTGCAGTGATTAACACTTAACAAAATAGCATTAGTTATTATTTTGGCACGATCTGCAGTTTGGCTTCCAGTCTTTCTGTTTCGTTCCTTTAATTGTCACATTCGGGTGATACAGTCGTAAATGACATGTTTGATATGTTTCCACAGACATGCCCAACTTCAGTTGAACAATGTTTAAATACAGTTTTACACTAATCGCTGCCTATTAAGCTTGACTAACCTGGTTTAGCCGACTATCTTGCTATGGCAGAATTTCTGTTCTGTGCGTATGGGTAGTAGACATAAATTGGCTATTTTGACAGTCACATACCAAACTGAACATCTCAAGGCACAAGATGAACACACATAGTGTTACACCCCTAGTTTGTCTCCAACATTTCACAAATGGAAAAAAAACTCTGGGTTTGCTGGGTTTCTTTGTAAATGATGAATGATACTCTGCCCATTACAGTTAGTATTTTTAGAGTCACTTTGCTTTGCATAGCTATATCCAGGGTCAGGAGAGTATAACTCCGACAAATTCCCTCTCTCCATCATGTTACAGTCTTATCTTATTAAGCCTTACCATTTGCAGAAAGTAAACAGTGTTTACGTGACTTTTTGTTCGCTTTGGGACTGCATGTTTTGGCTCATGTCTGAATGAAGACCTTGGGGGACTGTTAGATGTTTTTAGCTCTTTCCTCCCCTGACCAGGCTGAAGTAGGTCAAGGGGGAAAGTAGAAAGTGAAACTTAGTGATCTAGTTATACTCTTAAAAATTGGGTTTTGAGGAGAAGCACATGCTACAGTACACCCACTATATCATTAACTCAGAAAGCCAGTCTTAACCAACTGCCTCGTTGTTAAAAGTGGACATACCAACCTCATGTACATCTCTTAAACCATGTGATCCTAAAATGTATTTTCTCTATTGTGTTTTCTCCCGCTCTTTCTATCTTGCCCTGTCACCCTCCTAGGATGGGCTGGTGAAGGCCAACATGGAGAAGCTGACATTCTACGCCCTGTCAGCTCCAGAGAAGCTCGACCGTATCGGAGCCTACCTGTCTGAGAGACTGTCGAGGGATGTGGCCCGACACAGATATGGGTGAGCATCACCAGTCAATTGCCATTCAAAATAATCTTGAATAACATTTGAGCTGTCTGTCGTGTTTGCACATTTTGTGTATTATTTTCTTCTTTGCCGCACATTAACTTAACTGATTTGAATTCAGCACAATTTAAGCTAAGACTTTAAAATCCTGGAAAGAATTTGTAGCCACATGTCCGGGGAGTCCGGTTGGTCTGATTTGTAACAAAAGCTACGTGGCTTGTGTAGGGTCATTGATGGTGATGTTTCTGTACACTCTGTGCTTACTTTATACACCACAGAAGTTGTTGTCTCTTATGACTCATGACTAGGACGCACTGTGATGATTCTCACCAATGCAAACAGCCTGTACAGATTACATTTACTCTTGGCAGAGTCCACCTGAAATCTGTTCAGTGTGCAAGTCTCCAGAGTTTGTCTGGCACAGCTTATCACTTATCATTTGATTTCTGTTGCTGTGTCCAATTAGAATATATGCATGTATATATGTCTGATATCCAGACACATTTTCCTATGTGTCATTCAGATGTTTCCGTGTCTCTTTCCCATCCTCTTCAGGTATGTGTGCATAGCCATGGAAGCCCTGGACCAGCTGCTGATGGCCTGCCACTGTCAGAGCATCAACCTGTTTGTGGAGAGTTTCCTCAAGATGGTGCGCAAGCTGCTAGAGTCAGACAAACCCAGCCTGCAGATCCTAGGAACCAACTCTGTGAGTTTCCAGGATTATATTACTAGTTTAAAGAGTCTGTCAGATGTTTTATAGTATTGCAGCTATTAAACAACTACACAAAGAAAACCCTGCACAATATAAAACCTAGTGGTTTCATTCCTCCTTCATGATCATTTTTATTTTGTCTAGCTAGGGCTATTTTGCTTTGTTAAAGAAGTATGCTGAGTGGTAAACATTAAAATGAGTCTTTTAGTCTCATAGTCGATGCATTCAGGAAGAGAGTAATACTTTATCCAACTTTGTTTATCTTGATGTCTATATGATTTAATTCAAGTTTTTCAAAGGATTTACAGTTTATTACAGAGGCCAACATGTGCTGTAAATGTAAGAAACATACTGAGACAGTTTGTTTTAGTGCTATAAATTTAGATAAATACTCCTCAAACTGTTGGTCACTAATGTGTGTCTAATGTGCCTTAGTTTCTAAGCTTTTCTGTCGCATCAAATTCTGCCCATTTGAGTGGATTTAGAAGCATTATCTTATCAGAAGTAGACAGGACGCATTTACTTTCCTGATATGATGGCACAAAGTAAAAGACGTTAAGCTTGAGAGGAATGCTGCGTTAGTGTTTGAGGTAGATCCGAGCTCAGCAAGAGAGTGGTGGGCAGAGGGAGTATGAGTGATGAGTGTCTTCTAGTGTGGGGTGCAGCTATCAGTGCTGTCACCCAGGTCAGCAGAGGACACATAAAGGAAATCAGATTAGCTGCGGACCACACTGGCAAAGCTCTGCAGTCATCTACACAGATTGACGAGACAAGCCAGCCTCTCACTCATAATCTTCATGCTATCAATCTCCCTTGCACACACTCACGGGTGTGTATTTAGGACAAATGCAAGGCCATACGCTGATCCGCTCACACACACACGCACGCTAGTGCTGCGTAATTAATTGTACATTACAGAGCGATTTATAGCATAGCATTTTTCCTTCTTCATGTGAACTGTATGGCTCATCTGAAGCAGGCCAGTGTCAGAGAGAGGTGAAGGGAGCGGATTAGAGTGTTTATCACCACAGGACTCAAGTCCGACCAGGTTTTCTGTTCCACGGACCTAAAACTTTGTGCTGTAGAGCCCCTTCTAAAGTAAGCCAACACATAAGTGCCTGACTTTGTGTTTCTGTCAACTTGCCGTTAGTTAGATGGATGGCTCTGTGGTAGAAATTTACAGCAGGGGTTAGTTTCTCCTGGTGTAGCCTTTGGTTGCAACAAAAATGTTTATTAACTGGTTTTCGAACCTAATCTTAAAGCTTTCAATCAGATAGAGTTTGTTTCAGCAGACCCAGAGTTGATAGCTGGAAGCTGCCCAGTATTACTGGCAGAAATACTGGGCAGCTTCAAGGTATCAACTGCTGCAGCAATTTACTGCAGCAGCTGAGCAAGAGCAGTTACGGGTTCACTTCATTTCATTTGCTCAAGGGTACTTCATTTAATTTCCAAACCACTCCAAACTCTAATTTTGTAAACAGGAAATAGATTCACAAGGGGCTTCTTTTTAGATGTTCATTTCCTACGTAAACTCTTCTTTTTGTCCTTGCATTACTGCACTAATCCAGCCTGTTTGAATGGGAAATTTATGTACTTGGATTACCATCTGCTTCACTGAATGTTCACTATATAATGATTGCTTTAGGTACTATCCTTTCTGTCTTGATTCTAAAGAAATCCAGTTCATAATATATTAATTGGAGAGTGTTGTGAAGCTAAATGTCAGCGTGTTTAAATGGTGACATTTTCTGGCCCAGTGGGAGGGCCCCCTCTGCCCTGTGCTTTTCAATCTTAATGAGATGCTATGGTGCTGTGGTTTGACTTTAATTTAGGAGATATTCACCATGGGGATTTACAGTTATTTCATTAAAGAGTGTTTAATCAAACTGAAATAAACTCTTAATAAACTTGGGCTTTTGTGATGCAGACTTATTGCTTTAAATATCTAGAGCTGTTGAGATTCAAACTGAATCCCTCCCCCCATCTTCTTTCTTTCTCAGTTTGTGAAGTTTGCCAACATAGAAGAAGATACACCATCGTACCACCGCAGTTACGACTTCTTTGTGTCACGCTTCAGCGAAATGTGCCACTCTAGCTACGAGGACCCCGACATCCGCACTAAGTGAGTGGACAGATGCTTGATTGCGCTAGAGGCAGAATTATTCAGTAACTGCTGTTTTTAGACTACTTCAAGAAGTCTTTTTTTGGACTACTGCTGCCCCTGGACAATTTTTAATACCTCCTTGAACAGTGAAATCCTTTAAAAGTGATCTTGTTGTCAGATTTGTCATCTGCTGAAAATAGACGTAGTGGTGACTTCTTTGAACAGTTACATTTAGCATTGCAGACAAGACAAAAATATGATTTTCTAAAAATATGTTAAAAATAACATTTATAGATTCAATTACCGATTAAATGATAGCTGATGTCTGTTACCTGCAGGATCCGCATGGCAGGTATCAAGGGCCTGCAGGGTGTAGTGAGGAAGACTGTGAATGATGAGCTTCAGGCCAATATCTGGGACCCCCAGCACATGGACAAGATTGTCCCCTCTCTGCTTTTCAACTTGCAGAGTGGAGAGCGCACAGAGAGGTGAGTGCTCACAAGCAAAATGTTAACCGACTGGGTTTTGTATGTTGCTGTTCATCAGACATGTTGCAAGTATTTAAAGGTCCAGTGTGTAACATGTAGACGGAATTCTATTTGGTTGCGGAAAATGGAATAATTATACGCTTGGAGGATCCGACCCGTGCCGTCCGGCCGGGCGCTGAGTGGAGCGCGCGGTGGCCGTGTTACCGCCGGGAGGTGATTATGGCTTTCGTTAGTGTATAACCACCTGAAAATAAGAACTGTTATGTGTTTTTTATTATCTTTAGAAGTAGCCTTTTGTATCTACAGATGCCACAGTGGCCTGTTATAAATATTAGGTACTGTATTATATTGTCATTTTTTTAGTAGTAGTAGTATGTTTTCTTGTAGTTTTGTTGAAGAACACGTGACGAAGTTACATTCTGACTGCAATTTAAGCAGTTATCTTGTCATCTCACACAATAGGCCAGGCTGTGCCAACTTGGGTGAGAAGGTTGATGACCCAAAATGCATCGGTCACATAGTCCGGAGCCATTGTGTTGTAGCCAACTGGTGCTGTTTGTCTTACGTTAGGCCATATTTGTCCTGGCAGTCTAGTCAGCCATCACCCATGTCATTCATCATCATTGTTATCACTGAGTGAACCCACTGACAGCTCTGCTCCCCTTGTGGGCATCTGTTTGCCCCACCTGCAGCATCCAAGGACAAAAGAAAGGAATTGAAGGAGTAAAAGGAAGAGCATGAACCGAAATAGTGCAGTGGGTAGGGAATAAAAGCATCACAAGCATTAAAAAAGCTAGAGGTTGGCAGTGAGTGAGAGAGAGATGCAGAGTCTGGAGCCTCCCTGTCTTGGCATAATTCCATATGCTGAAATTTACTTTGACGTCAATGCCGACAGCAAAGGGGGAGGGCAGAGAGAAGAACATTGGAAGATGGGGTGGAGGGTAGATAATAAAAAGTATAGTGATGTGAATAGGGAGGTTATTGAAAGAGAGACAGATGGAGAGAAAGAGACAGACAGGAACACTCCCAGCAGAGAGACACATTTCCCTCTCGGCTCCCCTTCTCTCCTGTGTGTGTTATGAGGCCTGCTCCTGTTGTGCGTCCTCCATTCCTCCCCACATTTGAGTTTAGCCAGTCATTACCAGCCGTAAAATTGACAGCAGTCAGTACAGAGTCTAATTAAACTCACAGATGGTGCATTTTTCCCTACATTAATCCCCATGCACATGTACAAGTTCATTCAAAGATCAACTTCAGGCACAGCAAAGCCTTCTGACAGTTGAGACTCATTTCTGTAGAAAGTGTATTTCTAGAGATACTAAAATAGTTCTCTGGGCTCTGTTATAACTCCCAGCATAATTGATTTCTTTTAATGTGGTTTGAAGGTGCCTGCAGAAGGCTGTATGTTCCCCAAGCAATTTTCCTCCAGGTATTGCCTCAGCAGAAAATTTTAACAAGAATGATCCTCTGGTTAAACATGCTCTGTACACACTACACACACTCAAAATCAGTCCTTTGTGAATTGTCTGTTGAAAGCAGATATGAGGTCAGATTGTGGTAGCCATAAAGGCGTTGAGATAATGGTGATGCTGATTTCTCCTAATGCCAAATTTCCTTGCACGTTTCCAAATGATTAGGCAAAACTGTGCATTGAGAGGCTAATAGGGTGACTTCAGAATGAAGTCTCCTGTGAGTGTTTTAAGATGCACTTTTCAATTGGACGGGTCAATGAGGGTGGCTGAGCAAATGCTAAACCTTTCAACAGCAGGAGCTTATTACCCACCTGAGTTTTCCACATTTGCAGCACAAAAAAAAAGAAGCTTAATTTAAGTTTGTGCCCTTAAGGCTAAACCGCTGTATTTTTCTTGGCTTTGCTGTTTTCCACTGCCCCTCAAATGTGTGCCCTTTTTTGGATTTGAGTGGAGTTAGAGGAGCTACTGAGGGCAGGAAGTCACATTTCCTCCACAGCAGCAGCAGCAGGCAAGATGAAAGAGTTAGGCTGTTTAATAAATAATGTCATCATTGGTGGACCACCCAAGGCTATTCATGACCAAGATAGAGTTATGGTGGTGGTTTTAACTATGCATGAGAACAAAGAAAGGCTGGACCGGCCGGTGTTGAGTACCCACACACACACATACACCTGCACATACATACAAACTTAGACACAGACGTATACCCTATGGTGATACCAGATGTGCAATACACAAATGTGTACACACATGGCCAAAATACTCCCAGTCACTTCATTTTCACTGCAGACAAACTGCAGAGGGGAAGGTCGCCTCAGGAGCGAAGGCTGCAGTGACACAGCAGTCGAGAGAGTGTTTTTGTGTAAAAAAATTAAGCCTTAGTGGAAATGTTAGTGTTACTGAAAGAAATTGATTTCAAACTCTCCACTTCTGTCCGTTCTCTCTCTTGCTCTCTCCCCCTCCTGACTCGCCTTCCCTTCCCTCCCTCTCCTTTCCTTCTCCCTGCTCTTTCCTCTCCTCTCTCCCTCTACTTTTCTGTTTTCTCACCTGCATCGCTCTGTACCAGCCGCTCCCCCTCTCCGCTGCAGGCATCGGAGAAGGAGAAGGAAAGCCCGGTGGATCTGACGGAGCGCTGCTTCAGGGAGCTCCTGGGACGAGCTGCCTATGGCAACATCAAGAACGCCGTCACGCCCGTGCTGATGTAAGTGAGACACTTGAAACTCCCGTTTACACGAGATCTATCCTCTTTTTGTTATTTGTTGTTTGTGTACTGACTTAACCTGAAGGGAGCATGCATCCTAGTGCTATGTTGCAGCATTTCTGTCTGTCCACTGATTGGCCCGAGGGGGCAAGGCAAGGTCAGTGCAAGGTTACATAGTTGCTTCAGACTAGATATGAGTGCATGATTTGCAGACTGAACATTTAAATTGTATATTACTGCATTTATGTTGAGGTCTGCCTTGCGAGGTTGTAATTCTGTCACAGTTGAGGATAGTTATTTTCTGACATGACATTGCAGATTTTGCTGCTTCTTCATTTATCCTTCTTCTAAGGTCATCTTTTATTTCTCTGAGCTTGGTCCTCTGTGATGAGTTTTTTTCTTTTTTGTTGTCCGTCCCCTATCCATCTTATACTTCTTCCATCTCTCCTTATTTGAATCAATTCAACTCTACTGTTTTTTATCTGTCTCAGCCGTTCCCTTTCCCTGCATGTGTTTGTCTGCCTGTATCTCTCTGAGCCTTAGACATTGACGCCTAATTCTTTTCGGACTGATTTGACTTCTGATTTTTTGTTTATCGTATATCCACCTATTCTTTGCCCGTCTTGGTTTGATTCCCCTTATCTCAGCCAGTGTTTGTAATTCTTCCTACTTTATATTCTACTGATGTTGTTGTTATGGTGGAATAGCAGGCTGACCATAAGATACATTTTTTTAATAAACGTTAAAGGATAAATGAGTTCAGAGGAATAATGTTGATAAAATATGTCAACCAGTATTTATGTGTTTATCACTTGCTTTCAAAAAATACAAAGTTCAAAAATGCATAGAGGGGATGGAGTAAACGTAAGCCTGCAGTGCTTTTTATCGATATTTCTTTACTCCAGAATCCAGCTAGAGTGCAACTCTAGTCTGTTAGTTATGTATTATATTCATATTTCTTTCCCCTTCAATTCGTCTGAGTTGTCATGTGCTGTGTGAGACCAGCTCTTGTCCATCCATCACTGTATCTGTATCTATATCACTCTATCCCCACCTCTCGGTCTCTATATACATACAGGTTCTGCAGTTCAACCAACGGTTCTGTAGTAATCATGACCGGGTTTGATGATGTTTGTGATCCTGATTGTTATTGTTGATCAGGGTTGTTTTTGTCATTTTATTGCACTTTTTGCATCTTGTATTACCGTCCTACTGACTACATTCAGCAATAAGTTAAATGCTTGTGTGTCTCTAACTTCTTTCATTTCTGATTGTGGACTGTAAACATAAGTAACTCCTGTGCTACCACATCTAGTGTACACATGATTCTTAAATGTAAAAACTACAAATGGAGTCTTGATGTCTGGGCTTTTTGAGGAACTATAAATCTGCTCTCTATCCCCTGCTGCTCTCCATCACTGCTGGCACTATATAATTACATCTTCTGTATCCTCGCCATCCCTTTCCTCCTGTCTGTTCCCCCAGGCACTTAGATAACCACTCTCTATGGGAGGGGAAGACCTTTGCAGTGCGTTGCTTCAAAATCATCATGTACTCTATTCAGGTGAGTGATACAGTGCCTACATATCCACAAAGACCTCTTCCTCACCCCCTTTTTTTCCTCTCTTTCACTCTGTTGACCTCAAATCCTGTACAAATAAAACATTTTGTGTGATTTGCACAGTACCATGTTTTAATATTCGTAGGTGGTTATTACATGATTTAGGGGCATAAAGTAGAAACATGCTCCAGTATTCATAGTCACTGATTTACAGCCAAAAATAGCTTAGAAAATTAGAGATGTTTGAATATTCCTTTTCGGTGTCAACCCTTCCCCTTTTCAGAGCTGTGATTCACTTTTGATCTTAATGAAAACTGCAAGTGAGTGACGTGTTTAATCTTCAAAGGTTTTAGTTTGCTTCCTTCTTGAGTGACTCACTCAGTTTACTAGTTTTCTACCACCTCTATATCTCTCTCTTTCTTCCTAAGTTTTTCTTCGTTTTTTAAATCTGGTTTAATTAATTAATGAATTCCATCTCTCCTTTTTTCGTAGTCCCAGCACTCTCACTTAGTAATCCAGCAGCTTCTCGGTCACCTGGATGCTAACAGCAAGAATTCAGCCACAGTGCGAGCTGGGATAGTGGAGGTTTTGCTGGAGGCAGCCGCCATTGCAGCCAGCGGGTCTGTAGGTGAGAGGACTGACACAATACAGACACACATAAACACACTAAGGTACCGGCTGACATATTGAAACATAATAGATCCAATGTAAACTATTATTATTACTTATTGTTTATGCAGGTCCTACAGTTTTGGAGGTGTTTAACACCCTGCTGCGGCAACTCCGTCTGAGTGTGGACTATGAGCTGACTGGCTCCTATGACGGCAGCACCAACATTGGCACCAAGATCATCAAAGCTCATGAGGAGAGGCAGCTGCAGGAGGCTGTCATCAGGACCATCGGTGAGTCTGTGGGCGGTGTTTGTGTGTGTGTGTGTGGGAGGCTTTGCAAGGCAGCCTCCTTGACTAGATTAGTTTGTCTGTGGTGCTTATGTTTATCTCACTTGTGTATTTATACTATATTTTGTACAGAGTCTAGTATTATTCTCTCGTCTCTCTTGTCTTATTTTCCTTTTATCTAAAACCTCCTCATCCATCTGATGCTCATGTCTTTGTCCTCTCTTTCCTTCTGTCTCTTTCAGGTTCATTTGCCAACACTCTACCAACATACCAGAGGTCAGAGGTCATGCTCTTCATCATGGGAAAGATTCCTGTCCCTGGAGTTCACCCAGCTCTGCCCTCAACAGGCTCTGGGTAAGTTTCGTACAAATCACACTCACAAAAACATTTTGTTCCCCTACAGTAAATACTCAGGACACACAAATACAATACATGCACACCTGCAGTCAGAACTGAATGCTGTATGTTTTATGTAATTCTCTGTCTTACCTTATTCTATCCTTCAATCAGCAGTACTTTGTAAACATGTCTGTGTGAACCTGAATGTTGATGAATAAAGGGTTTTAAACTGTATCTTATTTTGCTTTTTTCTCCAGGCCTGAGAGTACCAGGATGATCCAGATCATGTTACTTAAGTCTTTGGTCCAGGTATGTTTTCAGCCTCATTATTATTCATTTATAATGTCTGTATGATGCGTATATATTAGCACTATTAGCTGTGGGTAAGATGTAAATTACGTCCAATCAGTTAGGGTAAATCTTCACTTATCTGGAGTTCATCAAACTTTATTTCAGCATACAGCTCTGAGAATTTTTTTTTTTTACAAACCATGTGTGTTTTTTTGACAATATTTGTCTTTCATCCTCTTGATATTCTTTCATCTTTTCATTTCTCTGCATGGCGTCACATTTATCTCCCCATGATCTAAGGAATGTTTGCGCAACAAGGCTACTTTTCTGGTGATGCATTAATATTCAGGTGACCATAAATATGTGCTTATGAAAGCACCCATCCATCCTGGTTGTGAGTGTAGGACTAAGAGAAGGTAGACCTGACCTAAAGCTCGTGTCAGTCCAAACCAGAACCCTATCCCTGTCACTCAACATGCAATTTCTGTACATTTAAAATTATCTTAATACATGTAAACAAAGTCAAACATCTGAATTGCTGCTCAGTCAGTGGCCTCATTAGGCTTTATCCACAAACTCCAGAAATGTAGTTCTGGGTTTAAAAAAATATTTGCAGCTTGCATACTAAAACCAAAAGAGCCAAAAACCACAACCCCACTGTGGTCAGGAATTGTCTTCATGTTTTGGAACATTGTGAACCATAAAAGGCTTTTGACCATCAATCTCTCAGGTGACAGCAGGTTTCCAGACCACCAACATGCTGACAGCACTGCCCAGCTCTTTCCTTGAGCCGCTGCTATCCTTCTCTCTAACGGAGGATCCAGAGGTCCGGCTGCTGGTGCTCCAAATCCTCCTCAGTCTCATCGACAGGCACGACAACACACCCAAGTTCTCCAACATAAGGTATGTTTGTGTCTGCAGCTTTGCGTGTATATCCTGTATGCTAATTTGTACTGTGTTGGAGCTTAGCTGTGCTTTAGTTTGTGGTAATGATTGTGCCTTCTTTCTATGTAGCATCATCTCAGACATCTCTGTGCTGAAGCTCAAAGTTGACAAGTGTTCCAGGCAAGACAACTTGTTCATGAAAAAGGTTAGGTTTCTGAACCCTGAATATATAAATATTTACACTCATGATGGAACTGCAGAAAATCTAGATTAATTAAACTCTAAAGCACCCTCTCTGTCTGTCTTTCTTTTGACTCATCATTCTTCTTGTGCATCCAACTAACAGCATGGCCAGCAGCTGTACCGACACATTTATTTGGGCTGTAAGGAGGAGAGCAGCGGTCGGCTGCACTACGAGACCCTCTTTGCTCTGCTGGGTCTTCTCAGTGTGGAGCTGGCCAACGAAGAGGTGGTGGTGGACCTAATTCGCCTGGCACTCGCCTTGCAGGTACAGATGCACATAATGTGTTATATTTACTTGTGTATTTGTTTTGTTAGGAAATAATTGCAGACTTTGTTGTTATTACTCCCAGACAAAAAAGACAGAAAATAAGATCAATCCAGAAAGGCCTTTTTTTTAAAGATGAGTGGTAAAACTATCAATACATAAAACATATGAATACCAATATTACAACACAAGATTAAGATGTGGGCACAACCCAAGATTCATAAAAGTTGTTTGGAGAAAACATTTTAAGAAAGTATTTTAGAGGTTATGGTGAATTCATGTGATTGAGCTCCTCAGACACTGTGTTTTAAAGTCCAGGGATCCTTGCTGACGTGTCTTTGTTTCCCATGCAGGACCTGGCTCTGTCCACCGACGAGGCTATGCCTGTTTTTAACCGCTGTGCTGTTCATGCCCTCGCCGCCGCCTACCTCAATCTCATCTGCCAGCTCACCACCGTCCCAGCCTTCTGCCAGCACATACACGAGGTCTGGGCCTCTTTGTGTATATACATTTGTGTATGAGTGTGTGCGAATGCCAAGAACCTCTTTTTCTAATAAACCACCTCTTTTTTTTCCCTCTGCCCTTCAGGTAATTGAAGTGAGACAGAAAGAAAGTCCCTACCTTTTGCCTGAGGATGTCTTCATTGATAATCCCAAGTATGTACCAGCCATATTCAATTCTCCTTTCTCACGAACCAAACCAACATTAAGTTAAGTTATTTAAATTTGCAACAATGGGAGCAAATATTTCTTATTTTTTTAAAAAAAAAAATCACTTTCTTCCCAGGCTGCCTTCTTCACTGGAGAAGGTGGAAGGGGGTGTTTTGTTCCTCCAGTCAAAGATCACTGAAGTCCTTGGGGGTAGTGGTTATAACACAGAGAGACTGGCTACGCCTTACATCCCCCAGTACACTGGTAAGCTCAGACAATACTCTCTCTTGTCTCTTGTGTTATAATGTCACATTGAGGTCAAAAGTCAACTGTGGAAAAACTGAGGAATTCTTACATTGAGTAATGTGCTCCTCTCTCCAAGTAAATAATGATAAATAATGATAATGTTTGTTCACTTGCCAACGTGTTAGAAGTTTGTCTAGGTGCTTTATTGATTCCTGTATGGAAATACAGAGCCGAACTACTCCCCTGGAGCTAGTGGGGATTTAGTGTTTGGTTGAAGGACACTTCATCAGGGCAGCTCTGGGGCTTGAGCCAGGATCATTAAGTTGAGGACAATCCTTCTCTAACTTTGGCAACCTTCTGGGTGCCAGTTCACTTTGATATGAATTTATCAGACTATCCAAGTATCCCTGTTATTCTACTTGGTTTTACTCTGTTTTTTCTTTTTTAATAAATGTATCTAAATTTGCAGTTTGACGCATTTTTACAGAATTTGTGAGATTGATTTTTAAAACAAAGAAATAAAACGGATCATCTCCCTCTTTTCCAGATGAGGACCGTCTGTCCAAGAGAAAGAGTATTGGGGAGACCATCTCACTGCAGGTGGAGGTGGAGTCCAGAAACAGTCCAGAGAAAGAGGAGGTAAAGACAAAAAGCATTTACAACAATTTCATAGTGTAGAACTCAAATACACCCCCATTAGGGAAGTTAAGTGAAACTGTTCACCTCTCACATTACCTCATTACTGCATCATAACACTTTCTACTTTGTTCTGTTCTGCAGAGGACACCAGCAGAGGAGATCACATTTGAAACCCTGAAAAATGCCATCGGTATGTCCACTCAACTTTTGTGGTTTTAAAATATTGTATCATTATATACTATACAATACACTACATCATAATGCTTTATTGAAATGTATACCGCTTGTGTCTCCCTCTAGTGGACAGTGTGGGTATGGAGGAGCAGGAGAGGGAGCGAAGGAGACAAGTGGTGGAGAAGTTTCAGAAGGCCCCCTTCGAGGAGATAGCTGCCCACTGCGGTGCCAGGGTATAACAAAAACATTTTCCTTTTATCCGTATTGTTTTTCACACTTTTGCTTTTGTTTAGCTTTGTACTGTTTGCTTATATGATGTTTGTCCCTTCCAGGCCACCCTACTGCAGAGCAAACTCAATCAGATCTTTGAGATTACAATCAGGTAAGAGACGGTGCTTTGGGATATTTCCGATGAAACGGTTTGACTAATATAGTGGCATTGATGGCACTGACACTAAATGATGACGACTTACGATGATGATGACTGCTGACTGTTCCCTCTTCCCATTCAGACCCCCGCCCAGCCCATCTGGAACCATCTCATCAGGTTACGGCCAAAGCCAGAGTCGATCTGTCCCCATCTACGAGATGAAGTTTCCTGACCTTTGTGTGTACTAGAACAGAAAGTCCACAGTGAAGTTACAGAACTATTTTGACGGATCTTCACTGTAAAAGCATCTTGATCATGGCATCAAACAACCATGGATGAGGAGAAAACTACAGCTGTTTGAAGCCAACTTAAAGAACAAGCCACTTGTTTATTAACTTAGCTTTCTGAAATGACAATTCTTTTTGCCCTGTGATCGCAGCCAAAACAAGCTGGCTAATGTCAATAAATGCCGCAGTAAAACAAAATTTAATTTAACTTATTCCCCCTCAGTTCTCCTAACAGTAGATGTCTGTAGAAACTCCACTGGCTGGATTTTCAAATTAGAAATGGCCAAGAACTGTGAGGAAATGAGAGACTGAAAGTTATTTTATTGGCTTTAGAATGAATTGACTCGTTGCATGCCCTGTAACTGGACATTTTTAATAGCACTGCAATTCTTTTGACCTGTTTTCCCCTTGAAGGGTGCCATACTACCCTTTATCACAAATTAGATTGACCATTATATTCATCTTGCCATTGTATGCTTTTATTTGTTTTATTATTCGTTGATTTTATGGCCAGGAAAGAGTGTATGTGTATTAGATTTTACTTGACAGTGTATCTTTGCGTATGTTTGACTGAAATATGGATGGATATATACAAATTTAATTCTTGCCATTTCCCATATTACAATTGAATGTCTTGTCCTTTTTTTTGTTATTCCTTTTTAATAATAGCCAAAAGTGCTTTTTTCTTTCATGACAGGCATTCATTTCCTGCACCTATTTTTTTTTTCTAATTAATTCTTTGTTTTTAAGCAGCGGTTTAAATGAAAGATAACTGTCCATCTGTGTGCTGTCCTCCCAAAGTGAGTGTGTCTTACAGGTGACTCAAGTCAAGACATGCACAAAAACACACACTGCGCCACAGTCAAAGATCTTTACCGTGATGTTTACCAGATCAAACACTAGAAGATAACTAAGGATCTTTTATTTTTTTCTCCTTTCCATATAAATGTGTACATACAGAGAAATATATAAATCTTTAAGCTGATGTACAGAGTAGGGATGTTTTTGTGTGTGTGTGTGTGTGTGTGTGTATATATACTGTATATTAACTCTAATTTTAGACTGCCACTGCACTGATTGTGTCCATAGATAAGGGAGGAAGCTACTTAGTTAGTATTAGGATACTTTTGTTAAAATCTTGTCAAATCAGTAACGAGCAAAACATGAAATCAAATGAAGTGTATTGACAAGGGTCTGAACAGCCCGCAGTTGAAATCTTTATCATCTCAAGGCCAGTAGATCACACTAGTGAAGTCTGAATGCGTCCTGCTAAAGTATTAGAGCCCATCTGATAGAATCTTGGAAGAAAATGGGTAAAACTTCATTTCCAGCCACAGATTTGGAGACAGGTTTTAGCACCACAGTGCTGACCTGTATCGTTATCATTACATCCTCCGTCTTTCTGGAATGAGTCTGCACTCTGTTTTTTTTGCCAAGCTGTGCATTCGTCTCATTCAGCAACATTTAAATAAGTCTAAAAGCCATTTTTTGTGTGCATGAGTGCACACACAGGTATGAAAACGAAGTATAATGGCAATAATTTGGCACTAGCCTGGCTAACACGGCCCAACCGTTGGTAGTTCATCCTTTTGTGTGTTTTAGATTGTGCTTTATGTTGTGGTGGTGCTGTGATGGGTCAGTTTCGTGATGTTTGATGATGTTAAGAGACCGCCCCTCCCATTCCTGCGCTTCTGTGAATTGACCGCATTGGGCGTGAAACGTGTTGCAGCCATCCTGTTTAATATAAACGACAAAGTCTGGTTTGTCCCTGATTGTCACGTGTTACAGTCCGGTTGGTTGTTTATTTTATTAGTTTTTATAATGTAGTGTCCTCTGTATGTATATTTCTGTCCACACATGCCAGTGTATATGATTGTCTGTCCACCCTTTTTGTCAGTGCAGGTGCGTGTGTGTGAGTGAGTGTACTTGTTCATGTGTGCATATGAACATTCATGCAGATGTGTGTCTTTTATCGTCATTACCCAAGACCAAACTCTTCAAACACAGTTTACAGTTTTTGTCCAGTGACTCTTTCCACCACGTTCATGAAGAGCAAGCTATATGAGAGCAATGTGCAGCTGTCTGAACCTTCCAGTGACACCTTGTAAAACTGTCTTTTCAGCATCTTGCAACTTTGCAGTGAAGACCTGTAAATCTACAAGTGTGCTTGTTGTCATTGCATAGTGTAATGTAAAATTAACTGACGGTAATCCAATCTTACTTTTGTCATTACATGTCTGGTTAATAGATCTGTTTACAACGTAGTGCTGTAGGTCAAATCTATTCATTCTGTGAACTTTGCACTTTAAAAACTGGATTACCTAGTGACAAAGGCAGCTTTTACATGGCCTTCATCAGGTGGCCGGTGTCTTTATGTTGTAAGTCAAATGAAATCAGTCGTTATCATTGTTGTTTGCCACAAGCAGAATTATCTTTAATATCATATTAGTTTACAAAAAGATACCACTGTGTAAATAAACTGAATAGGTTTTTAAATACTTTCTTTCCCACCCACCACTTGTTTACTTCCTGTACAAAACATTACCCACAAGAAAAAAAATACCTCTAAGAAAGTTTTCAAGTTAGACCAAGAAGGTCAAGGCAGTCTGTGGGTGCAACATAAAACTGCCTTTTTTCTTATTAGTCAAGGTTTTAATGAGACAAACCTTTGGCCCAGAATATACATTCAACAACATGCTAATGATAGTGACAAGTTTCTGTCATTTTAAATTAAGACCTTTGGATACTAACATGCAACGGCTATTAGACTCTTTCAACTACCAGGCCCTCCCCCCTCTTCTCCATCCTCCCTTCAGCCCATTATCCTCTGCACATCCTTATATATAATGTTCCTGAAGAGCTTGGCCAGCTGCCTCTGAGGTTTCTCCTCCCACGTCTTCATCAAGTTGCCATTACGTTTAGAGACAGTCGGGCTGCCCCATCTGAAATGACTCATCCGATAGGTACCATCTTTTCTCTCCTGTGGGCTCAACTGGACATGTGACTTAGAGCTGACCCTCGCCCTCAATCCCAGGTTTTGATGACCATCTCCCTTCACTTCATTCTCGTTGCTGCTCAGCTGCCTGCGAGCCTGAGGGGGGGAAATGCCCTCAGAAGATCCCCCTCCCTCCAGAGAAGAGGCAAAAACCTTTACAGGCCGGCGTTTACGGCCAGAGGGTTTGCCCCAGCGGAAATGCTCCATTGAATAGGAGCGTCGCTGGTCGCTGTGAGCCTTCAGGTCTGACACTGATATCTTGTTTTCAGAGACCAGGGTGGCCAGGATGATGCCGAGTAAGAGCTCATCGTCATCATTACCGTTCAGGGCCAGTGCGCTGAGATGTGGGAATTCAGTCTGGGCCACAGACATGCAGAGATGAATACAGTCCTGTGTGAAAGGAATCACAGAGACATTGCAAAATGTTATTGCTTTGATACTGATTCATTGTTCTCATCAGTTTAAACCATGCCAAAGTTTCTAATCCTAAATCATGCCAATAACACTCAAATGTACATATCTGAATCCTTAAATGAGGAATCAATTATCAAAATATTTGTTATTCTGTTGTTGACTGTTTCAGCTGTAACTGCTCCTCATTTGTAAATCTGCACAATAAATCCTGTTTGTTGTGAAATAATCTCCCCTCAAGGTCCATAGTTGTTCTGTCTTTTTATCATATCACAAGATCTTCCTGTGTATTTATAGTTCATTCTGTTGTCATGGTATTATAAACGTTTTAACTATCTTAGTTGCTGCGGTTGTGGAGTTGTTATGGTTATGAATTCAGTTATTTCCTTTTTTATTTTGAAATACTAATTTCATTTCCTGTTTTTGTTTTTCTGCCCCCTTTGATCGTCTGCCCTACCCTGATTCGTTTCACCTGTGTCTAGTTATTCTTCACTCTCCAGTGTCTTTAGTTTTCATCTTTATGTCAAGCGTTTCAGTGTTTTTCCTAGTGTGCTTCCTGCTGTTCTTTGGACTTGCGACCCTGGTTTTTCGACATTCTGCTTTGTGTTTTGGACTATGGATTTCTTGCCAACCCCTTTTGGATTTGTTTTCCTGTTGGACCGTCTTCCTCATTCCTGCAAGCCTTTGTACCTCACTTTGTGTAATAAATTACTGTAGAGCACCAGATCTGCCTTTGTTGTCAGCATCTGGGCCCTATTATCTTTGTGTTATGTTACTCATCTTGCACAATTGATTTGAAAAGGTCTTCTTGTCTATGGAAAGACTGAGCAACTAAATAGACCTTGAGTAAAGATTATTGTCAATTGCTGTTTCCAAAGTCCAAAGTCTTTTAGTCTGTATCCTTTTTAAAGGACCATTGTGTTGGATTTAGTGGCGTCACAGCGGTGGAGTTGCAGATTTCAACTATTTCAATATAGCTCAGCATTCTAGAAATCTAGACGGTGGCAGCAAAACTTGTGAAACAACACAAAAGGTCCTGTCTACAGCCATTGTTTGGTTTGCCTAATCTGGGCCTCTGTAGAAACATGGTGGCTCTACATGGTGGACTTTGTGGAAGTGAACCCGCTGCTCCTGTAGATAAAACCATCTCATTCTAAGGTAACAAAAACACAATGATTTATATTTTCTACACCAATGAAAACATAACTATGAATATTATATTACATTTCTAAACAATAGATAAATGTTACACACTGGTCTGGATCCTTTAAACCGCCTTTAACACACTGTGAGGAAGTTGCCGTGACTTCCCCAGTGAAGGCAGTAACAGAGAACAAACAGGCAACAATGTAGAGGATAGAGAAGAGAGTTTGACCTACCAGTATCCTGTCCTTGTTGCTCAGGTCGTTGCAGATGGAGTTGTCCCAGCACAACGATCCAAACCCGGGGACGCACACATAGGCCATCACCACCACTAACAACCAGCATAGACACACCATCTTCAGCCTGGTGTGGAGGACAGAAACACAAGTGAGCTGAAGAGAAATTAAAGCTACCGCAAGGGAACTTTTAATCGAAACACAGAAAAGGCTTTAATAACAGTCCCGACAGGCTTAAATATTTGCTTGATTATGCCTAAATAGAAAGAAACTGTCACTTTTGTGAAGAAGTACAGTAGGTGTCTCTTGATCATTGCACTTGCATAATACATTCCTACCTTCTTTATATAACTTGACTGAGATAATTGGTGGATTTGTAGCTGTGTGTGTCATGGTTGAATAATAACTGAGATCAAATACCATTACTCAACATTCCCATTCCAGCCAACATCATACGTATTGTAACAGATGGTCTTATTTATCAGCAGCACATGAATGTTATTTAAAAAGTGGGTTGCTAATGAAAATGCTGAGAAATCTGACACTGTAGGCTGTTCCTCAAATGAGGCTTGATTAAGGGTTATAGTTTTTAACACTGTAGGAGACTGTATTAAAATATTATGAGGGTTGGGGTTCAGAAAAAGGGGACGAATGTTTAGTTTTTCTTTTCGCTGACGGGATGGTAATCTGATTTTGGAAAGCAGGTCAGGGTCTTTATTTTTCTTACTCCAGGTTCATATTTGATCTAATCTTTATCTTGGTAGGCTTGGCAGGATTAACGATTTAACACGAAGAACCTGTATGAAAACAATAAGGGGACTGTGAGTGAGAAAAAGGCGGAGGATCATGTATTTCTCTGTTTTGGGAAAGCAGGTCAGGTCTACCAGATTCGGATTTTATCTGATCTTTAGATTGGGAGGTTTACTATTAAAACATGGAAAAAAAGATTTAATAGTTCTAAAAAAAACAAACAAAAAAAAACACTATAAGGGCATATTTTGATATATCTAGAGGACAACAATCATGTCTCTGTATTCTATTTATTCTGCACTTACAACTAGTAATGTCAGTTTTGAAAAACAGTAGATTTGGATCTTAATAGTTGGTAGGGACTGAGAAATCCTCTCTTTAAGGAGAAGGCCAATTCGTAGGCAACAAAATTACAGTAAAGTTAAACGTATAATGTATAGTAAAAGTTAGAATCTAAGCCAATTTTTCTGCAATAGACATTCACTGTATTCACGTCTATAATTACCTAGTAGTTTTCATTGATAGTGGCGGAGTCCGCCATCCCTGTTTTGGATTCATAAGGGATTCACAAGAAACAAAGCACACGTGTAATCAGCCTAATGTTATCTGATTTGTGATGGCCTCAGTGTTTACTGTTTCTTACAGTCATATCAGACTATTGAATTAATGCTCGTACAAAGTGAGCATTTTGTTGATGCTTCACATTAAAAGTAAAACATGGGGTGACTTTTATGGGGAAGCAGCCACAAGAAACAGAATGTGACACTGGGCTTTACGCTGACTGCAATTAGTCATCGAACATGCGTCTACAAAACAGTCATTGTCAGGTTGTTGTTTTTTCTTTCTTCTAACAGATTTTGCAAGGGAGTAATGAAAGAAGACAAACAATCAACTGTAAGCTGTTGCTTGTCCTGTATGCAGCATGAAATCAGATTACAGCTTGCAATGGCATGATGGAAGAACAATAATTGATTGACTTCTTTTACCTTCTACCATACGTGGAAACTTTATAGGAAGACCTGACTCACTGGTTAGATGTCCTGACTACGTCTTGAAAGAGAAAAGATACACACACACTTACTTCACATATTAAACCTGAAGTTAGGGTTCAGTTGAGATATTGGGGCAGAGAATGTTGCAGTTTTTTTCTAGGTAAAATGGGGTCTAAAGCAAATATGTTGTCCCTGGGGAAGGTCTTTATAAAACGTCAAAAATAAGTTTCTTCCACCCCTCAGCAGTCATTTCCATACAGTCCCTAAGCTGTGCTAATATACATTTTCCAAGTGGCTCTGTAGTAACCCTGTTGGAACAAAAATGGAGAAAGGAATGCAACAGTTGCTTTATAGCTGTAAGGGCGAACAATAACAAAGTTGGTAGTTTAGTAAATCATTGCTTCAGTATATAGGCTCAGTCCCACTGGTATAGTGCACTTATTTAACATTAATAGAGAGCGATCTGCCGCAAATAATTCGAAGGTCAATGAGGTGAAATTACCTCAAGTCGGATAAATGTGCAGCAAACACTGTCTTTGTGCCAGTTCAAGGACAGTGATTAATGCACATACATGGATGAATGCAAGGAAACATAGGAGGCTACATTCATACAGGTCCCACACATTTCAGGAACAATATATTCATTCTTAAGTGATGAGGAAGATTTACAAACAAGTACTTTTCATAGATGATAGCACTAAATAACATCCTCTATGATTGGGCTATTCAATTGGCGGCCCCAGGGGCCCCACGTATCACCACCAGGTAAACGGCTTCCTTTATCTCTTTGTTGCTGTTTATTATGTGTCTGGAAAAGCACACTACTACTATTCACCATACTTATTATTATTCTTCCGTACGTTTTTCGGTCGACTACTCCTCCCACAGTTTTGGTCGCACATACACAAAAAGGTACCAAAACGTGCGGCTCAGCGGGGACATTAGTGCTATGACTTTTCTAAGTGTTTTGCCAAACAGTTTGTCAATAAATCGCCAAAAACCAGGCCAAAAAAT